CCTAGCTAAATTCAATCTATGAAAAATTAGGAGCAAAATGAGTCTAATATGTAAAATTTTGCCTAGCCCAACTCTGGCCCAATTTCTAATCACACCCTCAAGCATTGCTAAATGTCACCCCTTTTTCCCTACTGAAAAAAAGAAAATGAATGTATCAACAAGGGAGGTTAAATGGAGTTAAACTCTCCAAGTAACCCACCCTAAAACCAATATACAATGACTAATAAAAGCAAGTAAAGTGCCTTACAAATACAAAGGCAAAAATAACCTATACAAGAGAACTATGTACAAAATATACACAAGTAGAACTAGGCCTTCTCTTCATGATAGAGTAGTCCAAGTGAAGAATACCTTGGGCTTCAGAAGCCCACTAGTCTTCAAGAGGTCCATCTCTTCTTGAATGCTCCTAGCCATAGCTCTAGTGATTGGCCCCTTGGCCCATGGTCTATCATCCCCTCCCTCTTGAGAAGGATTTGTCCTCAAATCTGCAGGGTCATCTTCCTCATCATAACCTGCAAAAGGAATAAGATTACTAACATTAAAAGTGTTACTTACTCCATAATCACTAGAAAGATCTAACCTGTAAGCATTATCATTGACTCTTTGGAGGACTTGAAAGGGACCATCTTCTCTTGGATTGATTTTAGACTTCCTTTGAGAAGGAAATCTTTCCTTTCTCAAATGAAGCTAAACCCAATCTCCTTCCTCAAAAATGAGATTTTTCTTACCTATGCTTCTTTCTAAAGCAGTTTTCTCATTTTGTTGTTGTATATGTGTTTTAACCTTCTCATGTAGTTTCTTTACAAATTCAGCCCTAGATACCCCTTCTTTAAAAGATATTTTCATTGAAAGCAACAATTAAAGTTGACAAAAAAAAGGGTAAAACATTCATATACTTTGAAGGAATAATGCAAATAAACATTCACACCGAAATTCAGTAGGAAAAAAAAAGAATAAAGGAAAGAAAAGAAATATTATAAGCAAGACAAAGTTAATTTGGTAACCAATAACCACAACAATAACTAGTCAGAGACCAAGAAATCCCGCACACTACAAGAATGTGGGTTATTAGTGTTGGCTTTTAACCGACTCTAACTTAAAAAATCCGACTCTATCGTCTAATTAGCATTGGCTCTGCGTCAACATAATGGCCTTTACTAAATTTGTTGACACTAAATATATTGTGTCGGCCTGACAAACGGACATCTCATAGAGACGGCTAAACCAACTCTTAGTTATCGTTAAAATATGTCGCGTTGCTTTTAAACATTAAATAAATTTTGTTTAGCGTCAGCCATAGAGACAATAAATTACAATATTTTTAAAATTAAAATTAGTTAGTGTCAGCATTGTCGACAGTAAATAATATTTTTTTTAAAATGCATATTTTTAGTGTTAATAAAGCCGACTCTAACATAATTATTTATTTATTATTATTATTTTATTGTCCGCTAAGTTGACGCTTAAAGTTAGTTATGTGAGTTGGTTAAATTTGTAGAATATGGTTTTTGTGGGCTTAGCCGACACTAATTTTTTTTGTTTGTTTTAGAGTCAGCCTAATAAAGGCTTGGCTGACGCTATGAGTAGTGTATTTTTTAATTTTAGAGTCAGCTTAATAAGGGCTTGGCCGACGCAATACCAATTGTTTTTTTTTTAAATTTAATGTTAACCTTTGTTGTGTTTGGCTGATCATTCTTTAGTATCAGCCAATGCACATCAACAACCCGTGAGCATCACAGTGCAACTATTTTCTGTGTTTGAATATAGTGAGGTATAATATACAAAATAAGGAATTACACCAGCATGATTCAAACCTATTACATTTATTGATCTGTACGTAAGCTAATTCTTTTCCATCTTAGAACATTATTTTTAAGATCGTTATAGTATATGAATGCAAGTTTTGAAGAATTATTCTCATGTTTGAAACGACATATAGCTATGAACTAAGAAAAACATTCAGTTTATATGCCACAATACAACTTCTATGTACCAGAATAAATAAGCAGTGTTATAAGCAAATGTAGTGTCATCGTTCCCTAAATCTAAGATCCATCAGATTTGTTATTTTATGGCCCCATAACCAGTACAAAATAAAAAATGAAAAAAAAAATGAAAAGTGGACATTTGACAATAAAACTAACAAGAAACAATTATTATCACAGAACATTGCACAAGCACAAACTGTCTCACCAACTTATTAAAATTGGATGAACAATAATCAAATCATAAAAACAACCATATAACAAAAGTAACTTAAAGCAAGTAAATTAAAATAAAAGGAAAAATATATCCCAGCTATTCATTAGGAAACTGCATCAATATTTTCGTACCTCAGTGATTGCATCAGGACCAGAAGGTAATCCATTTCTAGGAATAACACTGAATATCCGCTCAGCAACAGCTAGAAATATTTCCTCCAAAATGTCGTGCACTGAAGTATTGAACTTGCAGATAAGTTGATTTAGTAACAAAAGAAAGCTAACCATTTGCTTTGGATGAAATAAAATATAAACAAGACACTACAGAGTTTTATCTTCAACCAACACCAAAGGAAACAACCAAATCAGGTGTAAAACATGTGTATCACTTCATGTTGAAATTGTTTTAGATATAGGGGAAGATAGAATATTTACATTACTCATATATGAATATATATTGGACATTTCCATATATTCTAACAGCCACCCTTAAGCTAAAGCTTACACATTTAGTTTGAGTGCGTAGCATTCTAAACATTACTTTTAGCTACATGAAATTAAAGTACCAAAACTGATCAACTTCTGATTTCTCAAAGTACCTAAACTAATCAACTTTTGATTTCTCTTCCAGGATATTATCTTCAGTTGTTTTTCCTTGCAGCAGAAGAACCAAGTTTTGGTTTGGCAGCATTAGCAGTAATCCCAAGGCCTACAATCTTAAATGAAAAATATGAGTTTGCAGTTTTTATTACCATTATCATTACATAAATATTTCAGGACAGGGATGACAAGATCAAATAATAACTATAAGATCTTATGTATGGTTATGCGACTAAATTTTACTATTTTTTTTATATTAATAACTATGTATAAGGCATATAGGATGAAGTATTAATTTGTACGAGAGAATGAAAGAGTTAGAAAGGAAGAATGACAAACAAATGTTTAATGTTATCTTCTAATGAATTTGATACGCAACATTGTATTAAAAACCAATCTTGTACGCAAGTGAATCAGCTAACTCATAATTGAAAGACTACAAATTTCAGGTATACTAGCTAGGCAAGACTTCTGAAAAAAAAAAGAGTTTTATTTGCATTGCATTGGTTATGATGAGAAGAAAAAAATGAAAGCTAATAAAATTAGGAGTAATAGCCAATAGAGTCATCTAACAAAGCAATACCAAAATTATTCATGCTATCTAACCTTTCCATATATGAATATATAAAATGGCAAAGGTGCCTCTAAAACCTCTAAGCTAATTATTTAAGATAAATTCATATAAGAAAAGGATAACTTAATTTAGCAAAACTAAACTTTCAAAATAATAACAAGAGAATCGCCAACCCCTGAAATGTTCAGTATGGTCTATTCTATTATATCTCCTATTATAGAGAACAACTTTGGAACTCCAATAGTTTACTAGGAACACGACTTCATCATTTTTAGACATGCAGACAAGCAAAGGCATCACTATTGTATGAGGTGGAAAGTGATGAATTAAAAGATGCTCATAACTCACCTTCAACAACTGAGTCCAAGATTTTCCAATGGAAACTAAATCAAACCCAATAATTATTCATGCAGTATAAATCATTGCCTCTTCAACAACCTACAATTTAGATCAAACATCATGATACGAGCAAGAGTTAACATTGGCCATTTATCAGTTGTATAAAAATTACAATGGTCACTCTCACACACAAATGTCACTCTCAAACACAAACAAACAAAGGCATAAGGGTCACATACAAGAAGGCCAATAGCTCCAAGTCCAAAGATGGCAGCAGAAGAACCAAGTTTTGGTTTGGCAACATTAACAGTAGGCCCAAGACCTACAAGCATAAATGAAAAATATGAGTTTGCAGTTTTTACTACCATTATCATTACATAAATATCTTAGGACAAGGATGATCCAAACCTATTTGATGCCAATTAGTTCACAACAATATGTTAAAACCTAATAATTATCATAAATTAAATAGTGAAAATAAGAATACAATAAGAAAACCATTCAACCAAACATATATAGTGATCATCATTATGTTTAAACATACATATCAATATAGCAAAAAATAGGTAGATATGTGTACAAAAAGTGCACATGACAAAAAAAAGCACCAAGTACTTAAGTGCACATGACAAAAAAAAGCACCAAGTACTTAAGTTCCTAAAATGCTAGTATTTAAGAACGGCGACGGCGTCGACATAGGGGAACCTCCTCATCCAGTGGCTGCTGATCAAATTCCTCATCATAATGAGGATGTAACCGACTAGTACCAGTTGAACCGCCTCCAGATTGACGGTCCAGCACCAACTATAACTATTACTGCATCAATTTCATTTTCTCCTCTAATTTTGCATACTTCTCATTTACAGCATTAGCTCATGTAGTCGCTGCATCAGCTCGTGCAGTTGCTGCATCAGCTCGCTCAGTTGCATGTTGAACCTCTTGGCGTAATGCCTCTATCTCAGTAGAATGGTGATGTGTATGACTGGTAGCCTGAACAAATAAAGTGACCTGTGTAAGAGAGGACACACCATGACGTATGTTAGAAGCTAGATCTCTCGTGGCATAACATCGACCCCTACTCTTGCCTCCTGCTGCTTCCTTCCAACACTGAATCTTTTTCACCCCATTTACAGGTAATTGACTGTTAGACCCCTCAACACCCTCCAACTGAATCACTCTCAACCACTCGTGATATTTTTCCTAGTCAATTATAATGCATGTCAGACATTAGAAATATGTAAGTTTAAAAATTGAAATTGTAATGAAATTATTTTTTGTATAAGGTACATATGTATCACGAGCACGGTCATCAACCCAGCTACCAGTTTTCTTTGTGTGAGTGGCCACAAATAGCTCGTCCGGATCTAGAGGTCGACCATATTTACGCTCCTTTAAGAAATGTAAATAAATATAAGCAATATTTTATATAATGTCATTATATATGGGAATTTACACAAGTCATGAACAATACTTACTAGGCCTAACGTAACCTCAAGATGAGACTTACGTCCCGTTGTGTGCAATGCTCCACCTCTAGTAGAAGCCCGATTATTTTTATTTCGGGTAGATTTTTCTTCGAATTTGTTGCTGTCCCAATACTTAAGAAGATCATCCCAAGCTTGTTCTCCTATCCAATGTGGCCTAACCGCTTTACACCTTGCTTTGGTAAGCATATCACGAAGGAGTTTTTTGACTTTCTTTCCATACACCTTTCTAATCTCCCATTCGTGATGTGGTGCCCAAGTAATTCTTGCCTAAAACAAATAAAGAAAATAAGTATCAATTTCATCAAAATATATTAATAAATATTTAAATACATAAAAAAAATTAACATATAGTCACCGTGAACTCTGTCCACCATTTGACTTGCACATCCTCTAGAACAACATCATAACAATGATAAGGACCCCTAAATTGTGACTTAATTGCATGACCAATTGCCGCAATAGGGTGAGTATTAGGGATCCATCTGTAAAATATTCAAATCTAATGTTAAGCATTAAGTTCATGAATAAAACCATAAAAGGCATAAACATTAAAAATCAAATTGCTATTAAACATACCCATTTGCCATAGGTCGGATGATGACTCTACCATCACTATCACATTCCACTATCTCCTCAATTTGGATGTTCTCTTTCCTTATATGAGCCTCCACCTCTATATCCTCATCTCCCTCAACATTATGAGGATCCTCTGCTCGAGGAATATCGACAAGATGAACTAGTGGGGGTTAGGTGGCATAAGATGATGAAGTAGGGGTGGCCTGAATTATGGGAGTATGGGGTGGAGGAGTAGGTTGAACTAGTGGAGGTTGGGTGGCATAGGATGATGGAATAGGGGTGGGATCAATTATGGGAGTGTGAGGTGGAAGAATAGTAGTAGACTGATCGAGTAGAGGGTGGGTGACATAAGGTGATGGAGTAGGGGTTGGCTGAACTATGACAGTGTGGGGTGGTGGCGTAGGGCTAGGTAATTTCAATAATGAAGGGGTAAAATGTACAACACCACTGGTACAGGTGGCCTGATGAGTTATTGAAGGTGTTGAGCTAGTGCTTTGGGTCTTATGGGTCGATGAAGGTGTGTTAGTCCTGTTATTTCTTGATGTGGATGACTTAACAATAGATGGAAAGGTACCAATAGATGTGGGGGTAGAATTTTGCACATGACCAAGCTCTATAGCAAGATGACCAGGTAATAATCTAATCTCTCGAGCTCTTGCCATAGCTCGCTGGCCTCGAGAAATCTCAGTTGTGCCTCGTGTCCTAGGCATCTGTCTCACACATTAGTTAAAGTTTAAGATAACACAAGATAAAATAAAACCTTTTATGAATAAAAGAAAAACTTAACAACAAGATAAAATAAAACCTTTTATGAATAAAAGAAAAACATAACAATATATGAAAATCAATGAAATATAAACCTAAGTTAATCATTGTCGTTATCAAAGTTCCAATCCTCTTGATCATCATCTTCCTCCCCTAACTGTAACCCATCTTGACCATCTTCAACTTCTTCATCTTCTTCATCATCCTCAACTTCTTCAATTACTGATGTGTCAGCTAAACCTTCTAGTTGTTCAATTTCTACAATTGGTAATACATTTGCCATTTCATCAACTTGATAAGGTAATTCCTCATCCACATTGTTGACTTCAACATGACCTCTTGGTTTTGCAGTGATTACCACACACCAAGCATGCAAGTTTCTACAAATATCTGGATAAGAAACATAGTAAACTTGTCTTGCTTTTTGTGTAAGGATGAACAGATCATATGGAATATATCTTCCACTCATCTTGATTTCTACAAGATTGTATTATGGATGAACCTTTGTGCCTCTATTTTTTGTGGGATCAAACCATTCACAATAGAAAAGGGGATCTTTTTATTTAGTCCAAGATACTCCAATACATAAATATGGTGGATAATTCCATAAAAGTCATCTTCTCCTCCTTCGGTTACACCTTTTATGTGCACCCCACAATTGATTATTTTTCTTCCATTACTCCAACTTTTTGTGTGAAACTTGTACCCATTAACAAAGTACATGTTCCATGATATTGCGCATGAATTAGGACCCCATGCTAATGACTTTATGTTTGGATCTACCACCCCATTCCTCCCATCATTGACCTACATAAATAAGACACTTAAGTTTATATTGTTGATTTTCCTTATTAAGAAATTGAGAATGATAACACTTACAAAGTTCCTAAACCATTCTGGAAAATATGCATGTATATGTCTAGAAGTTGGTTCATCATTTAGGGATTGAGCTTGTAAGAATAAGCTGAAATGAAACACATAACCAGTCATACAAATATGATAGTTACATTTGACTGACATAATGAATTTAGGAATTAGAGGTACTTACTCAAGAATCGGTTTAACCTCATTACAATTTATGAGAATATGTACATGAGCAGATCTCCATTCATTGTCACGTAACCAGTATTCTTTAGACATGCCACTAGGGCGTCCAGAATTGTTCAATATTGACAATGTTGGGTGAATGCCCTCATGTGCAGTTCTAGGATCATTTCTCAAACTAGTGTTTGGCAACAAGCTTACACTCTTGAAATAATGGGAGCAAAAAAATGTTATCTCTCGGTGCAAGTAGAATGCACATATTGACCCTTCTACTCTTGCCAAATTATGCACTGCTCGTTTTGCATCTCCCATCATTCTGTACCACATTAACCATTTAGTACAACTAGAAAATAAATGGGAAACTTGATAATCAATACTACATATAAAAAAATACCTTTCAAATGGATACATCTATCGATATTGAACAGGACCACCAAGTCTTGCTTCCATAGGTAGGTGAATAGATAAATGTTCCATTGAATCAAAGAATCTTGGAGGAAAAATTCTTTCTAACTTGCATATAATGACTGATATATTTTGCTCCATTCTAAGTAAATCATCTATCCGCAAGGTATTACAGCATAAATCTCTAAAAAATCCACTTAATTCAGTAATAGGATTCCACACACATTCTGGCAATGCACGAAATGCAATCGGGAGAAGACGCTCCATGAATACATGACAATCATGACTCTTCATCCCATACATAGTTCCTCGATCAACATTGGCACACCTAGCTAGGTTAGAGGCATACCCATCTGGCATTTTTAACTCAGTAATCCATTTATAAATTGATTTTTCTTTTTTGACGAGTAAGTATAGTTTGCCTTAGGTTTTCCCTA